TATTAAAGATATACAGTGACACAAGGTGCTACCTTATGGATCTTTGACCCTCCAAACCTCATGTTGAAATTTGGTCTTCAGTGTTGGAGGTGGGATCTAGTGGGAGGTGTTTGGGTCATGGGGTGGATCTCTCATAAATAGATTAATATGCTCCCTGAGGAGGGAGTGATTGAGTTATCATTCTGTTAGTTCTTGTGAGAGCTGGTTGTTTAAAAAAAAAAACCATGTGTATACATGCATCCAGGCACACATGTACACAAGCGCACACAGGTATGTTCATGTACACATACAAAGACTGCAAACATTCGCTCATACAGGTGATGATAGTGTTCCACTGTTGGCCCTAGTGTCAGGGGCAGGCTCAGGGAGTGGAGTTATTTATCATTTTGGTTGGAATGAAAATAAATAGGAAACAAGCAAGCAAATGCACAAGTAACAGCAGAAGTAATAATTACCTTTAGAAAGATTTAATCAGACCATCCTGGAATTATGTGAAGAGACTGGGTAAAGAAGAGGGAATTGTCACAATCAAAAACTACACAAATATTCTTTTGTCACAGTGATTTTTTACCTCACTTTTATTCCTGAGCTTTTAGTTGACTAAGGACAATGAGTTCCATTTGTACTTATAGGCTGTACATCTGGCTATAAATGTACTTGACTATCCACTAATGCTTCACTTGCATCATGATCCTGGCAGCCAGCAGAGACCAGCCTGGATACTAAAGGTCTTTTCATGGTCATTTCACTGAGGTGTCCTCCTGACTCCATTTTTTCTCTGTTTAATGATTAATTCTTCGTTACTCTACCATTTGGGGCCTTTGTCCTTTGTCTATAGAATTTGATTCCCATGATATGTCCCAAAGCACAGTCTTAAGACTATAATAGCACATATTTCTGCACACACACAGAGGCACACACACACATACACACACATATTACATTGGAATTAAACGTTACTCCAGATAACGTTTAAATAGTAACTAGCAAAGATGCTGGAATATTATAAATATTTATTAGATAATCATTAATACTTTGAGATGCAACAGTCCAACAAAGACACCCCCTTTAATTCAATGAAGCTATCCTATATTCTTGAATAATTGTGGCTCTTTAAAAATCTTAATGCCATTTTTCATTTGACAAAGTAGAGAAAAACATAAAGAAGAAAATTTTCATTTCCAGTAGAGTGGCAATAAAATATAAAATAATCAATGGATTTGCCCCAGAGTTGAAAATATTAATCCCTGGACCAGTCTTTTACTTTTTCTGCTATATAACACAGAACTATATTCTTGGGTAGAGGCAGTCATTACCCAATCACTGCTTGAAAGTCAATACACTTTATGTTTAGAATCCGCCCGCCTTAATCCTAGCCTCTGGGAAGGCCGAGTAGTGGATTGGCTCAGGCAGGAGTTCGAGACAGGCTGAGCAAGAAGAGACGACGCGCATCTCACTCATTAATTGTAGCAACAAATTATGCAACTAAATATAACCGGGCGAATAAAAACTTAGCTGCATAGGGACGGCATGCTGTAGTCCGCAGCTACTCGCGAGCTGAGGCGAGATGCTCTGACAGAGTTTTGAGGTTGCTGTGAGCAAGCTGATTGCACAACCGAAGGCACTCCTCTGCCTGGCAACAAGGAGACTCTGTCTCAAAAAAAAAAAAAAAACATAAAAAAAAAACACAACGAACCCCTAGCTACCAAGATGTATACAAGATGCTAAAAGCAAAGAGAAAGTAATTTTTATTATGTTCTTTGACTCTATACTCCTCGCTTCCGCCTTATGAAATAATATCAAGACTCGGGATTTTTCTCAAGCTTAGCAACCTATGGTCACTTGTTTATTAGCCAGTTTGTGCTCTCATGATTACTGAAAAATACTGCGCTTCATAGAAAAATCAACATTCTACGCATCTCAGTCGGCTATTCTGAGACCTTTAAAATCCAAGTAGAGAATTCATACATCCTTAGAGTAGCATTTTCCTAGTTACAACATAAAATTCTGAAAGTTATTAGGAAATCGTCTTAAGTTAATTACTTGTATAATAATTCATCAATCATGAGGCATGCTAGTCTACCAGGTTACATTTATATCGATTTTAATTATTTACAAGCCTCAGGAAAAGCATAACTGATATTTTCATCAAAATAACTATTCCATTCCTTACCAAAATTATTAAAGCAATATACAGTGACACAAGGGCTACCTTATGGACCCTATCGCACTCAACCTCAATGCTATAAAGAAACACATTCACGCTCTTCAGCAGATAGAGGATGCGACACAACACTCTAGTTATTCGATATCACTTTATTTTATCTATCTTTATCAGCGCGCTCTCGGTCATGTGGATCTCTCATAAATAAGCACCCAAACCAACCCACCTCATGCTCCTGAGGAGGCCGAGACAAGAGAGACCAAACCATCAACACTGCTACGCAATATTGAAGCACATATTAACAAAAAACACTAAGGCACACACCCCTCATCACACCTAGCTGGCTACTTCCCATCAGCTCTCTACATATCACCGAGCTCCCCCTTTGCTTACAACCAACCGCCCACCTCACACCGCGCACGACCGAACATTCTATCATCTAAACCGGCCCATGCAGAATCCTGAGCCAAATAACCAACAACCCCCATCTATTTCAATTCTGTAAACACACACACACTCACCCCACATACAATTCATCACAACAAAAAAAAATTGGACAAATACATATGGCCTTCATTGACTCGAGCCAAAGCTACTGGCAACCGCAAAAGAGCAAAACATAAAAGTCATTGCATCTATTACCAACATCCACCCCCACTCGGAACGAAATACGATCCAACGAACATACCACCATTACAACACGCACAAAAAACCTTCTGGCAACGACATCTCCACCCCTCTATCACAAGACACCTACCCAGAGGCACACAACCGTACATACTAAAACTCTTAATAATTTATTCTATTTAACTTTCACGCATCAGCCTCACCAATGGCTAATTTTTATTTAGGAATCTGCCATCCGGTTCGTAAATACTTTTTAAATTAATATTTGAATCCCCACCCACCACCCCCGTTTTATAGGTCTTTCTTGGCTGTGACACAAGTGAAATGCAAGTATCTGATAGCTGTAAGGTCCTATTAAACAGCCAAGAGGCTAATAAACAATGTTCCTCAGCTTAACATCACCCTGTGTTTGCTTCTCCTCCTGCTAGATTTTGTTGACTTAAGTAAACTCAGAGAAAAAAGGGGGAGGATGGCAAGAAACGACAAGAAAAATCAAGGTTGAGAGACAGACAATACATCTATGATTGAATCGAATTTGAGATTTAAAATTCTCTCTTCTCACAATTTTTAAAGCAACTTTCTAAGTCAGACCAAATTATAAATATCGGAATTCAAAAGGAACATAAAAAGTTCTAATGGTCAGTTCATGCCCCAACATATTTTGTCTTTTAACAGTGAATCTCAAATATACAATATTTATTCTCATCTTGTAAGTTTCTGGAGTTTCGACATAACGACTGATGGAATCAATAGGATGGAATGGATGATGGAATCAATAGACAACTCCCCAATGCAGCACAACTCATAATGAAGTAAAATAATAATAAATTAATATACGGGCAAATAGATGTAGAGCGAGGAGTTGGAACCAAGGAGAAGGAAGAGAAAGTGACAGAGAAGAAGGCAAAGAAGGAAAAGAAAGAAGAAGAGAAGAGATATATAGGCTTAAATGAAAGAGAACTTAAGGTGAATGATCACCAACTATTGTGGTTTATTGTGTTAAGGCACAAGAACCAGGCTGGAATTTTAACCAACTGATATAAAAAAGAAGAGGATGTACTATTATGAAACTGGAAGTTCTGGAAGTTCAATCTTATACATCCCAGCGATTATGCACTACTGGTTCCTATTAACTGGAAGAACGTTGACTTAAAAATGCCACTTACTGCCCCAGAGAATCAGTTTGCCAACTGACTGGAGATCTGGAGATCTGCATGAGCGTGTGTGTGTGTGTGTGTGTGTGTGTGTGGTGTGTGTATGTATAGGGGGTGTTAGTTGTTTCATGATTTGGAAAAACTAAGTAGATACCTATGCCAAAGCGAGGTGTGAATTTATATGCAGGCATACCTTATTTTATAGTGCTTTGTTTTATTGTGATTCACAGATATTGTATTTTATACAAATTGGAGATTTGTGGCTACCCTCTGTTGAGCAAATCAATCAGCACCAACAGCATGTGATCATTTCATGTTTGTATGTCACATTTTGGTAAATTTCACACCATTTAAAACTATTTATTGTCATTATTACTATATTTTTTATGGTGATCTGGGATCAGTGATCTTCAGTGTTACTACTGTAATTGTTTTGAGGTGCCATGAACAACACCTATATAAGATAGCAAACTTAATCAATAAAAGCTGGGTGTGTTCTCAATACTTCACTGACCAGTGGCCAGTTGTTCCCTCTTTCAACAGGCCTCCTAATTTCCTAAGACAAAACAAATTGGGCCAGTTATTAACCTTGCAATGGCTTGTAAATGTCCAAGTGAAGGGGAAATTTCTACATCTTTCACTTTAAATCACAATCTAGAAACGATTAAAATTAGAGAAGAAGGCAGGTAGAAGGTCAAGATGGGCCAAAAGCTAGACCTCTTGTGCCAATTAGCCAAATTGTGAATGCAAAGGAAAAGTTCTTGAAAAAAAAAACTGTGTTATTCCAGTGAATGCACAGATGATAAGAATTGAAGCAGTGAAAACAGTTTTACTACTGATATGGATAAGGTTTTAGTGGTTTGGATAAAAGATCAAACAAGCCATAACATTCCTTTAAGCCAGAGACTAATCCAGAGCAAGGCTCCAACTCTTGAATTCTATGAAGGCTAAGGGAGATGAGGATGCTGCAGAAGAAAAATGTGAAGCTAGCAAAGGCTGGTTCGTGAGGTTTAAGGAAAGAAGCCACCCCCATAATATAAAAGTACAAGATGAACCTGCAAGTGTTGATGTAGAAGCTGCAGAAAATTATTCAGATCCTGAAGGAGCACTTCCTGGCTTTGCCCACTGTGGTGCAGCTCACAGGGCCATCTGACTGTTCCTGTACTGACAAAAGGAGGCACAAAAACAGAACCTCTGGATCGAGAGAAGAAAGATTGTTGACTACGCTTCTCTGAGCAACCTAAAAAAGACAAATAAAAGAGTTACTGCAATAGTGTCAGCTCTTGTTCCATGGTGTCCTTTCTATCTAAGTTTCGCTATTAGTTTTCTCTGTTTCCTCCCCGACACCCACAAATGCGAGCAGTTTTTAAACGTGTTGGTGTGAGTGGCTTTTCCCACCTGAGTTCTTCCAGGAACTTCCCAGGCCCTGCGTTCAAGCAAGTCATGTGACCTCCAAGAGCTGGTTCTTCAGCTATAAACTTCGAGAGCAGCACGGTCCCTCCCTCTTCATGTGCATGAGGCACCGCAGCCCACAGCTGGGCACCAGGATGCACCCAACTGAGTTCAAGTCCTGGCTCTGTCCCAACCACCGGCTGTGAGCTTCCCAGTCCCTCCAAGCTTCTCTTAATCAAAAAAATGCACAGAGGACTTCTGTATAAACAGTATATACAAGACAATTCATTAGACTCTCAGAAATATTCTCAAAATCAGAATATTGAGACAGATTTCAGTTTTTAGATGAAAACTGGAATTTTTATTTTTTTTTTTTACCAGCCTCATTATTTCGTACCTTAGGAAAGCTTGGTGAAATTCCTACCTTAAAAAAATGTCATGTGGAGCTGGGGAGAAGTATGTCTTCAATAATATAATTTATAATCAAACATTATTTGTTTGCTAATGTGGATAGAGAAAGATTATATTATGATACCATGGCATATGTCTGATATGTACAAATAAGGAGTGCAGTACAGTTCTGCCTGGAACACTATGATTTATTGCCTGGAAAAAAAATCTCATCATAATAATCCCAAGAAGTCTAGGTGATACTTAATAACGATTGATGTCATGCTGTTGTATTTGGTGACACTCAAAATAGATTTACACTGCTAGTTCTTTCCTGGCTTTATTTTTTCCTTAAGTAGAATCCTATGCTATTGTCAGAGTTATAATGTTCAGACTTGCAGGGATTAGAGGCTAGAATGGTTTCAGTAAATGACTAAGGATTTTACAATTAATAATGCTATTCAAGTACAGTTTTCAAGTTCACTTGCCAAATTATTTACTAACCCAGTTATTCAGTCATCCAGTTATCCCTGCTATTTTTGATTGTAATAAATTGAACAAATTTTTAAATTTTAAATTAAACATTGAGATGTCTGGTACATTTCAGGGTAAATAAAATAATCTGAATCATTGGAAGGCATTTTTGTCTCTAGAATTGCTATCTAAACATACTGAGACCAGCCTCTTCCTAACCCTGTAATAGCCATGCCTATTCTGAGGTTGACTAGACATGTTGAAAACAAGCCAGCTTTGCTATCATCTTCAATAGATTTCTTAATTAAGCTGCCAATACCGTCAATAATAGCTCATAGTTGTTTTAGAATTAAGAGTTTCAGTCTCTCAAAATTTTTTATTCAAAGATGAAAGAGGTTAATGTACCTATTTTGTGTTAAGTATAATTCTAGCTTTTCCACGTATTGCATTCTTTTATTTCAAATCCTCTTCTCAAAAGTAGATTCTCTAAATGCAGAAACTGAGGGACAATGAATTAAATAAGCCATCTTAGGTCTCAGAAATTTTCCAGCTGGGATTTGAATTCATGCTTATCTGATTGCCAAACCCACATTCTCCATTTATTCATATTGCATAATAAAGATTAATTAAACTTCTGTTGTGCCCAAGTCCATATGCCAACTTTTCAGGTTTCTTTATAGAGATCTCTTACTCCATCATTGAAATAAAAATTCAGATTAAAAAGGATTTGAAATTGTTTTTATACTCACCTCCAAGTCACATATACATGTATAAAGCCTTCTGGAGCTTTCTATCTCACCAGAATAATGTTTACCAAAAATTGGAAATATTTTCAGTTATTCTAGAAACGGATTACTCTGATTACTCTGATTTATTCAGGGAAAGTAATTTTCACTTGGCTTGTTTTCCTTAAGAACTGCTTGCTAGTGGTGATATGCCACCTTTACGAGTTTTTATTCTATTGCTTAGATTACAATCATAGTAACAACTTTTTCACAGTTTGCCTGTATATGTGTATTACTCCAGGCATTCATTCTGGATTCAAAATTTACTAGGATCTGCAATTTTATGCTAAATAAAAGATCGTCCTAAAATAAATCTGTTTCCATTTGGAATAACAAAGCCAAATCTTGTGTTTCAGCTTTCCAATAAAATGCAGATTTTGCATTAAATATAACAGCCTATATTTCAAAGAGCTGAATAAAATAATACTTAGAAAGTCGTTCCAGTTAGTTAATTAGAGCAAAGGGGGAAAGTTCAGTACCAGAATGTTCTTGGATGTATTACATTTTTATTTGATTATGAGCAGGATTCATTTTCATTTCATTTGCCAACATGTCTCTGTGTTTCATTCTTAGATAAACAAGTGACTATAGGCATTTTGAGCCAATTACTCTCATTCTGTTTCTAAATTGGCTTTAATACAGTAGCTGAATGAAATGGGCTCATGCTTATTGATGCATTAATGATCTTCAATAATGCCAAAAAAATTGCTATAGCCATACTTTGTTTCTATGCTTGGGACTAAGTATTTTGATCAGTTTCTTGCTACATGGTGTCTTTTCTTCTTGGAATCCACTATCATCTCACTAACCAACAGGAAATTCAGCTTTGTATCTACCAGCTCAATTGGAGGCTAAGATATGGCATAGATAGAACAAAAACATTTTAATGATTTTGCTCTGGTCCTGGATTTCTACTTATATATGTTTGATGCTTTGGACAACACTCTACAATATATTGTGGCTTTTATGGTGGGAGTGGTTGCCTTCAGTCCTGATACGTTCTACTATCAAGCTGCGTGCTCATGTATTTTAATGGTCAAATGTCCGATGGTGATAAAAAGCTTAAGACTAAAATTTTTGCATTGAAGTTAAGAACTCAATCCCTACAGTAAGACAGACATGGGATGTAGACACAGCTGCAGTAGATGTGTTAACTTGAGTACACCACTTAAACTTCATGTATGGATTTTCAACTCTAAAATGAGAACGATAGTAACAACTTTTCTACAGGGTTGTTGTGAGGATTAAATGAGATAATTCATAGCACATATCATTAAATAAATGTTTACGTATCCTCCACTGTTATCTAATCCTTTGCTTACAGTAATTACAATCTTATCTTGCTCTTGGTATCAGGACCCCTCTTAATCCAACCAGTCATGGAATGCAGCCCCTCATGCTCAAGTAGCACTTTGTGTCCCATTTTTAGGTTCTTTTCCCCCTAAAAGTGTGGCCCTGTGTTGCCTCCTAAATATTCCTAGGGATTCCATTCCTACTTTTCTTTGCCCTCTTAGGTATTATTCCCATGATTGCTCTTCGATGTGTGCAAACCATCATCTTCAGGTCAGCTACCTGGCAAGATGACCTAAGGCAGTCCCCACCCCATTGGTTCGATCCCTACTATTTTATAATCATTATTATAACTAGGCCTATATTTATTACTGACTTTTCCAGCTCCTTCACAATAGATCCTGTGTTTCAGGACATCATTTAATTAATGCATCCATTACCAATCATTCCTAAAATTTGCTTAAGCCTTATGACACAAGCATTGTTGTATTATAAATGATTTATATATACAGCTTCGCATCAGCTTCATACAAATTCTGTGAGGTGGGTGCTAGCCTTATCTCCATTTTTCAGATCAGAACTCAGATGCAGTGGAGCTGGGATTTAAAATTTAAACCTCAGCCCTCTGACTTCACCAGTTATATTCTTCACCATTCTCTATGTCAGGTGCCACCAAGCTGACTGCCCCTGAAGTGCTGCAGGTTTCCCAATTTCACATTCTTTGAGTCTCTCCAATATCTCCCTTTAAAGCATCATGAATACTTCTGTGCTCCACTGCAATCAGGCTGAGGCTGGGACTTTATCTCACTTGGCTTCTTCTTTATTCTTCTGACTATGCACCCTTCTGGATGTCTCCTGAGAGCTCTTGGTAAATCACTTGCGTACAACGCTCATCTCAGGCATGACTTCCTGCAAACACAAGCTAAACACAAAGAGGTAATTATAAGAGAGGGTAATTATATTGAGAGGAAGTAGAGGACATCAGTCTCTGAATTGTGGTGTTCCTGTTGGTTAGTGATTACCATCTCTACAAACAAAGGTATTGAGGAGGCATAATCGGGGTTTGAGGAAAATGACAAACATGACAAAATGGGAGAAGTCCAATAGAAGCAAATAATTTCTGCACCTTGGATAAGGTCCACATGAAGTTGACCATGATATGTATAATAGAGGTTCATTCACTGAATTTCACAATTTTATTCCACTCTGCTCAGTAACTTGATAAAAAATTGCAACAAAAACAAAAGCTCTCAGTAGGTAATACAAAGAGACTCAGCCTGGCAGGTTGCATTTTGAAGGCATAGCAACAGAGAACTTTTAATCTTAAAATATCTTAAAGTGGGTAAAAATCACTTCACATACCATACACTTTCTTCTCTAATTTTCATTGAAGAAGCAAATAAAGGTGGAAAAGGATAAGGTATATTCAAGAGGTACTATACACACTTGTTTCATTGAAAAGGTAGTTTGGATAGAGAAATACTGAAAGATGAAGATAGAAAATGAGGCAGGTCCCTGACTTCTGTGCATTATGGATGCCTAGGTAAGGGATTTTGAATTTTCTTTGAGTTATTATTAAATCTGTTTCAGTGTGGAAGTGACAATGAATAGGGAAGATTAATTGTCAGCTGTGAAGTTTTTGGGATATTGGTTAAGTGACCTTTTCAGTAATTTCAGTGGAAAATAATAAAGTCCTCCCCTACACTAATGCTACAATGATGAGAAAGAAAGGTGAGATATATTTTGAAGGAAAAACAAATATCAAATTAAACAAAAATCTCAATTAAATATATGTGCTTACTTAGCATTAACACTTATTACTAAGCATATTTTATAAGCTGAACTCACAAATTACAAAAAATTATTAGAGATCTTTTGTTTCTGGAGGAAATTATAATCCAGTTGAGGATAAAAAGGAAACCTATAAATATATTTAAATTATATTTTCTTTTTGTAAACGTTTTTCTTTTTTACCAGTCTTGCTGCTTCCCCTCTTCTTTTCTGCCTCCACACCCTGTAAACCTCTCCTGCGATCCCTCCCTTGTTAGGTGACTTGCACACAATCTTCACCCCAGGCCCTGCTTCTAGCAAACACAAGCTATGCACAAAGAGTGAATTACTAGAGAAAGATTTTAAGGGAAAGTAGAGACTATGAATTGTGAAGAACATATCATACATATAATTTCAAGTATAAATATGTCAAGAAATAAAGGTATTCTGTATTCTTATCAAGCCTAAATTAAATTAATAATAATGTCTTAATAATATCAAATATCAACTCTGCATTCAAATGTCCAATGGTTTCACCATAATTATTAGTTTTTGTATGGTTGAATCAGAGTCTACATGAAATCCACATATGTGAATGGTTGATGTTTCTTTAAGTCTCTTTTATGAATTCAGCCTAGTTGGGTTTGTGTGTGAGTGTGTATGTGTGTGTATGTGATTTATCTATTGAAGATACTGGGTTGTTTGTCCTGTAAATTTCCCATAGTCTGCATTTTGTTGATTACATTCCCCTGCTGTAGATTAATACGTCCCTCTGTAAATTGGTAGTTGTTTATAGAGGCTCGATCAGAATCAGTTTGTTTCTTCTGGCAAGACAGCTTCTTTGAGGCAGTGTGTTCTTCTATCAGGAAACCCAGAATGTTTGATTGTCTGTCTTTTTGTATATTAACAGTTGTTGATGATGAGAGCCAAGATTTAATAGTTCATATAAAAGTTGCAAAATGATCATTTTTAATTTTATGATTTTGTTCTTTATCTATCAGATAAAACTTCTATGAAGAGAAAATCCCTTTTATCTAATATTGGGTTTATCAATTTTATAGTTTATATCAAAAAGGCAATGTAAATGTTTGATTTTTTATTTACCAGTTTCAAAAATAATGAGCTTGTTTGATTTTATTTCCCAGTGATGACCAATTTATTTTATCATTTTGTTGTCATTATGAATTCAAGTATATAGTCATATTTAATGCCTTTCTCTCCCTAACATTTGTTATTCTTAATTAAAGTTCAAGTTGTCTCATCTTTGACCAGTGGCATCCTCTTCAAAGTGACTCTCAAGTGCTTTTTGGCAGCATGCTCAATTTCTAATATGACAAAAAGTTCCAAGTACATTTTCTATTTTAGACCTAAAATCACCTACTTCTCCAAGAAGCCCTGGTTCTCTTTCCTGGGGTGCATTTAACTTTTAACCCCTTCATGTGTTGCCCTCATCATCCTCAAAATTGAAAATTTCCTCTTAAAGCTGACCAGTGACCCTACAATTTTTAAGCCAGTGGCTTTTCCTTAGTCATTCTTTAGAATTTCCTTTGAAATTATTTTTGGAATTTTCTTTGAAATATTTTTCCTTTGAAGTTTTTTTGTGTCTCTAACATTGACATTCCTTTCTCCCTTTATTTTTTTCCTTTCCTGTGCCATTCCTTTCACAGGTTTTGTTGCCTTTTCTCTTATGATTCATTAAACATAAGTGACATATACATACACATAAACATCTATATTATATATAGATGTTTCTTCAACAAATATGTATTAACATATACTCTATGTCAAGCACTTTTAGGTGCTGGGATAAATCAGTGAATAAAACAGGTAGAGTCTATGTCCAAGTGTCAGGAGATATAGGATACACATAGCAAATAAAGAACACACATGCCCACCCTCCCATGTATGTGCATACACACACACACACACACACACACTATGAAACTGTGAAGTGCTATACAGAAAGTTACAGTTACAGAGATGAATTCCCAGTGTCCAAGAGAGCAGTAGTTTTACGGAGCAAGCCCTGAAGGCTTCTCTGAGAAGCTGACATGTAATTGAAGTCTTGGGGGGGCGAGGGGACCCACATATACCCATGTGGGGAAGAGCACGCCAGGGAGAGGGAGCAGCAAGTGCAAAGGCCCTGGGGAGAGTATACGGCTAGCATGATTGGGAAATGGCAAGGAATTGCCTGTGGCTGGAGGGAAATGGACTCAGGGAATCTGTGCGAGAAAGATGATCAGAAAGTGAGGAGTAGGGAAGGAGAACATAGAGGACTTTATAAACTATGAGAACTTTGGCTTTCACTGAGTGAATGAGAACGAGAACACTTTGAGTTCATTGAGCAGAGGAGTGATGTAATGTAACCTAACATTGGAGGGAACTCTTGGCTGATACGTGGTGAATAGGCTATAAAGGAGCGAGGGAGTAGCTGAGGGACTTGTTAGGAGGTTATTGCAATAATCTCGGCCACAGACCAGAGCATTCTCAGTGCTGGTGGTAAAAAGGGAGTGGATTCGCCTAACTGTGAACTCATTCCCTGCCAACACCTCTGGCACATTGCCCTCATGTGCCAGAGGGAGCAGATTACACTGTGTCTAGGAGGCATGAAATTTTAAGTACATTTTATTCTTTCCAATTAACCCATTCCTGCCTCTGCAAGCAAACTACATTCCGATGAATACAAACATGTGAACCTCAGTCAGCTTTTAGACAGAGTACCACCTTGCATTCACCTATAATAGCTCATTCCATGAGCAAGTTAGTTGCCGTTTACTGGCATTTCTCCATTCTGATGCAGTCCTCATTCCTACAGATAGTCAATGAATTCATCTTATCTTTCACAACTACACTCAAAATTCTTATGCGTCCTTCCTCCCCCAATTCCTCAACACCTAGTAACTTTTCCTCACATCTAGTCCTTCTATTTAATATTTTCAATTTGCTTCTGTATTGAGATTTGCATGGGGACCTACCAAATTATTCTTTATTACTTATCCAATCATCTCATTGTGGGCTTCAGACAAATGATTCACAATTACACAAAAGTGCATTAGAAAAGCACAAATGATATCATGAATATCAAGGTTGTGTGATGACCATTTGCTATTCAATCTCTTTTACCTTGATTTAAGAGTCCTGAAATTGGACTGGTTTGGCAAGAATTCTAATAAATAATTACCTGAAAGGAAACAGCAAACTAATGCAAACAAAGGCTTTTTGCCCTAAGATGATAAACAACAGGGTACAAACCCATGTATTTTTACTGAGATTGAACCCCTCTGATTCAGAGTAACAAGAAAAAAGATTAGGAAAAAGACTGAATTTAGGAGTTGGTATGAATACTTTCAATCTAAAGTTAGTTATCAGACATCTTAGAAAATCCATAAAGCTGGTAATAAAACCAATTGCACACAGACATATTCATATACATTCAAGGAAGTTATAGCAAATATTGCCATTGAAAAGCCCACACTCAAGAGTTTAATTTGGCCAACCTCTATAAACCCATTCTGTCTCTGATGGAGACAGAATGAAACTGCGGACTTGCATGTACCCTTGCCTACCTTAAGCTCATATCTAAAGTCTGTGGATCTTAAAGCTGATTTACTCAGCTTCAGATAATCCCAGATCCTCACTCATTTTATTTTTCCATTTTTCTGACTACAAACATGTTAATGGGAAAGAATGTTAAATATGGTGGTAACTAGGCCTGGTTAGGTAGGAGAGAAGGAGGAGGATGCAGGTTATTGAGAGAGATTTGGCTGTATAGGATGATGCAGCATTTAGCTCTGGGGCAGTACAAAAAGTCAGTCATCTCAACCTGGTATTATTCAGTCTGCCTTCTGTCGTATTGGATTCTGTTTTGTTTTGAATAAAGAGGACATCTGACATAATCTGAGCACCATTTCCAAGCTCTTCCATAGAGTGTATTTTGCAGTTTGGAGAACTGACCATAGCTCAGAGAAATAACTGAGAATGATATGGCAACACGAACAGTGGTGGGCCACAATCTGGGCGAATCTGAGACTTTCCTGCTAACCGCTATGCTCCCAAGTATTAGATTATGATCTGAACAGCACATTTGCAAAGCCGTGATGGCCAGTGAACTTTGCTGCATTTCTAACAGTCTATTTGTACAGGACAGAAGAG